ATAGCCATGTCTAAATATTTTAAAGGATGTCATATGGAAGGAGAAGCAAGCTTGTTTTCTGCTTCAGAGACTACAACACAGAGCAATGGATTCAAGCTACAGGAAAAGAGATTCCACCCATAACATTAGGAGGAACTTCCTGACAGTAAGGGCTGTTTAACAGTGGAACACACTGCCTCAGAGGTGGAGTCTTTGGAGGTTTTAAATGAGACTGGATGGCCATCTGTAGGGGTGCTTTGATTCTGTGTTCCTGCATGGTAGGGCGTTGGACTGGATGGCCCTTGTGGTCTCTTCAAACTCTAGGATTCTGTGAATTCCTGAAATTCCCTCATCTACATAACTGTTGAAGGGACAGCAGCTCTCTCCAGTTTTCACTGTAGTAACCCTAGATTTCTGGGAGCTGAACTCAAAATGTTTGAAAGAGCTAAAGTCAGAGTTCAAAACAGTTACCATTTTGTAGCCTACAGTTCTCAGAATTGCTTTGACTGTTTCCCATCAAACCCAGGAGCATGGTCAAAAAATAGAGACTGTTGTTCTGTTGTCCAAAAACTCCATATGCAAAACAGGTAGCTATCTTTTGGGATGTAGTCACTTTGCACAATAATATTTTCTTAACTTAATTTAATTGATTCATACCCTGCTTTTCTCTAGATATGGGACCCTAGATGGCTTTCAAAGATTGTAGTGCTTAACTGCCATGGTTCCAGTCTATGGAATCTTGGGGATTTTAGTTTGGTGAGGAAGTTAGGATTCTCATAACAGAGAGCTCTGATACTGTTATTCAGGAAGTGTATTATCTAGTGGTTTTAGCATTGGACTAAGACTCTGGAGACCAGGGTTTGATCCCTTCTCTGCCATGGAAACCCATTGGTTGACCCTGGGTGAGTCACACACTTCTCAGCCCCAAAAAACCTCATGATAGGCTCCCCTTAAGTGAACCAGAAGTTGGAAATGGCTTGAAGGCACACAAGAACAACACTAGAGAAGTCTAAGTCAACAAACTACAATTCCCTGATTCCTTCAGATAGAACCAGAACAGTCAAGGGGATATCAAAAGCTATAATTACATTGCAACAGTACAGCTTTCATCATGAAAAATTTCATTGTTCAATACCACAGAAGAAGCTGTTACTAAAAGCGCAGGAATAGCCCACACCTTCCCCTTAACAATCCACAGGTCCTGCAGCTTATGGTTGGTGGATCTCAGGATCTGTCCCCAAGTCTCTAGTTTTCATGTTTCATCTCGAGGTCAGAGACAAGGGTGCAAATTTTCCAGTTTTGGTTGGCTCAGCTTCAGGCAAGAAGAAAAATCAATGTGTAGATCTCATATCTTGCCACAACGTGCAAGGCTTAATACATTTGTTGCTTCAACTTGCAAAAACTCTCGGATGGTTCTACATATTTACTTGCCAACCTCCTCCTTTCTTTCCACTCATTGTGATGCCAGGGCTCACTGTACACTCTTCTCTTTAGCCACATTCTAGCAAGAAGCAAGCAGGTTAGATTAAATGTTCTTTATCCCATTTCCATAAGTGAGAAGGTATAATCACCTCATTTCACCTTTAGTTAAGATTTCTTTGACTTCCAAATAGAAAAAAAATATATTTATATACTCCTTTTCTTCTTTTTCTCTGTGTTTGTATTTGTATGACAAACTGTGAGCAACTGTGGTTAGAACTTAATGTATAATATATAATAATATCTCAGGTTTTGGACCAGAAACCTCAGGGCCTGAGATTATCCTGCACTAGCAACCCTACTCCAGCTGCTGAATTTATTTCTTTGCCAGACCTTATCCTGGCTGCCTCAGAGGGAAAAGTTAGATATGGAGGCCTTGTCTGTCAGCTTGGTGGAGACCAGCTGTCACTGGCCTTTTCCCTCTGGAACTGCATCTATCTGTGGCCATTCTAGCTGGTGGCATGAGGGAGAGATGAGATATCAAGGCAAGAATCCCTCCAGCAACCTGCCAGAAAACAGCAATCATTTGGTTTCTTTCTCTCCCAGAAGAGCCTCCTGCAGTGGCTTTTGCCTCTCAGTTGTTTTCATCTTCTGTCTCTTTCGTATTGTGCCTACTGGTCTGTAAACCATAATTTAGAACTGCTGTCAGTGCTATGGAAGAAAGGTGCACAGTCATGAATTATATAAAGCCAAAATAAATAACTTCTGAAGACATTTTAAGGTTGGATTTTCTGTCACAAAGACCATAACTTGCAGCTTTTAGAGCCTAACCTTCCCTCTGCCCCATGTTGTAGGGCACTCAAGGTGGCTTGATGAAGCCAAGTGATAATACAATGCAATATATATCATTCAAATAACTGCAGTAAAAATTTAGGTAATTCAACCACGCACCATGCAATAAAATCAAATATTACTTTTTAAAGAAAAAAAATAAGAAGACATCTTGTTGATGTTGTGGCCAACAAAAGGCAAGATGTCAGACTTAATGTTGTGACTGGATTGTGTGTACACATTTTGAAACTTGTTTTGTATTGTTTTAACGTTGTTCATAAGCTGACTTTGGGGGGCTGTGGGGGTTCCAGTTTACAGGATAGTGCTCCCAAGTGTGGGAATCTCAGTTTATACCTCATCACTGGTGGGTTCCACTCTTTATCTCACCACTGTATACACCAAGTGTAAGGGTTTCCACTCAAGCAATCACACCTGTGCCACCAATTGTTAGGATGCCTTTCAGGCAATTCCACCACTGTGGCCAAATGTGAAGCTTTCCACAGTGTTCACTGCAAACACTCAGTCTGGGGGCTTTTCCTAATCCCCACCTCTGCCAAACTTGTGAGGGGTCAGTCCAAATGCCCTCAAGGTTCCTATGATAATTTATGCTACTTTCATCCCCAACAAGACAACACCCTTCCACCTTCAATGCTGCCATCACAGCCGCCTTGTCTGAAACCAAACTCTTAGAATGATAGAAACTGAATGATAGAAACTCTTAAAACTGGTTTGCAAAGGAAGCATTTCTGTGTTGCAAATGGATGTTAAATTTCCTTGATTTTAAGAATCTCCCAGTAATCCCATGGCCAGAAAGAGGAGGTGTCAGCCTGCAAGAGATACCCCTCCATACCATCTGAACTAAGAACAAAACCAGCAAAATGTAGGCCTATGACTACCATCTTCATTTTCCCCCCTCCTGTATAGTTTTTAACACTTTGCCTGATGAAGAAGCCAATGGAGCTTTGAAAGCTTGCAACATGTATATTGTGCATTTTGGTTGATCAAATAAAAGTATCACTGTTTGGTGGATTTTTGATGTTAATGGATTTGCTATATGCCCAACACGGCTAGCTCTGGATTTTTTTTTTTTTAGAATGATAGTGATTCTGGGGGCCAAAATTAGTATGCAAGTGGATCTTGTAGCATCTTTGAAACTAACTGGAAGAAAAAAAATTGGCAGCATGAGCTTTCATAGACTTGAGCATACATCAGAAGAAATATCATTTCCTGCACAAAAAATGTTGTTTCCTGCACAGAAAATGCTGTAACACGATATTTATTCTGCACAAAATGCACATATTTGTATAGAAAACAATGTTTTCTGCATAGGAAATGGCTTTTTTTGCACAGGAAACTGTATTTGTACATAGAAATATTTTCTGCACAGAAAATGCTGTTTTCTGCAGAAAATGACCACAAACAAATTATGTGCAGAACCAGTCACAATTGTGAATACTTTCAAAAACATTTTGGTTTCCAAAAACTGTCTCATATCAGGAAGAAAATGTTAAAATTACTAGTTGCTTCCTTCAAGAAAAACTTCATGAAGAATTAGATCCCTAAAGAAGGTATCTTATCCTTAAAATCTTTTCAGTAGGTAAATTTATTCAAAGAAATGATGACCTTTACCAGGATGAATCCAGCCAAGATATGCCAAAAGCAGATGATGTTCGTGCTTTGCAAAGTCTGTATAATATTTTCATGCCTCTCTGCTGTTCTGGGCATTGTTCTTTCTGCTTCCCGAACATGTTGGTCATCCTCAGACAAGCAAAGGTTATTAAAAACTCAACAATTTTGTCCAGAAATAATAAAAACATTTTCTCCATCGAGGAAAAAAATACCGTAATAATTTATATTTCCCTAGCCTCTGTTTATCTCAGCCTTATAGTCTGTATGAGTGTTTTTCTCAAGAAGTCTGAGTTCTCCAAATAACCTACAATGTTCACTAGAAAGATTGCATCATTTAAAAATCCTAATGTCCTTGCTGTAAGCAATAACAAAATATGATGTGAAGTTTCTTATTTATAAAACATAATATAGATGTTAAAAGTCTGGCTGTTGTATCACAATCATTACTTTTGAAAGTTTATTTGGGTGGTATATCCCTGCCCCCATCAGTGGTTTACAATCTCAGGGGAGAAATTATACCAAACAAAACAACATTTCCAGATAATTCAATAATGATTGTTGTTGTTGTATGCCTTGAAGTCATTTTGACCTATGGCAACCTTATCATGTGGTTTTCTTGGCAAGTTTCTTCGGGTGGGGGGTTACCATTGCCATCCTCTGAGGATTGGTGCTTAAATATTTAAATGTTCTCAAATAGTCTAAACACCCACCATTGATAAATGTACAATAAAATTAAACACTCCACTAATAATTTCTACCAAAATCTTTGCTTTGAACATTGGACTAGAATTTTGCATACCCAGGTTTGAATCCCTGTTTGGACATGGAAACCCACTGAATGACCTTGGGCAAGTGATAGTCTCTCAGCCTCAGAGGAAGACAAAGGCAAACCCTCTCTGAACAAATCTTGATGAGAAAACCTTGCAGTAGGATTTAGGGGCATTGATTCAATAGCTCTAATCTAGCTGGAATGGACAATAGAATTTTGGCCCATGTGGATGAAGAGGAGCCATTAGTAAGCACTCTTTGGGTTCAGCCATCACTTATGGACTAAATACATAAATAAGTAAAACAAAATGCCTCTTTCATTTTCCACCAATTAGAAAGCTTTAATAAGCCATTTTAATTCAGCTACATGGAAAGCCAGCATGGTGTAGTGGTTTAAGTGTCAGACTATGACTCTGGAGACCTCTAGAGATCAGGGTTTGAATCCCTGCTTGATCATAAAAAACCCACTGAGTGACAAGTGGGCAAGTCACACTCTCTCTGCCTCAGAGGATGGTAATGTCAAACCCCTTCTGAAGAAATTTGCTATGAAAACCCTATGACAGTTTTGCTTTTGGGTCACCATAAGTCAAAAATGACTTGGACGCACACAAGAACAACAACATGGACCACAGCCTGCATCAAGTTGTTCATTAGAGCTGGATTAAGATCCATTGAACTAACTGTGAACTGGCTATAGTCTGCCTTATATAACTTCCATTGTTCATATGCTTTTACTCCTGGATCTCCTACTCCAGTCCCTTTGAGGATTTTGATCACAACCCATGCTTCATATCCATCCTTCTAATTTTCTCTATACCTTCTATGGAATTCTTCTCCTGTTCTGGGTGACAGAATATGCACTTCATAGAAGTTCAAGAAGTCCTGTTCCTTACACTCTGTTCTATTACATCCTTCCTCGAAAACAAAACAAAACCAAAACCATTAATATATTCCTTCCCAGATGTTCCCTCCATCCATTTTCTTATTTTCTGTCCAGTGACCTTTTCTCAAATTCCTCTGTACTGGTATTAGTCAGCATCCTCAATGGTTTAAGTAATAAAGAATGTGTGATCTTTCACCAATGCCTTCAGCTTCTCCTCCTGAATCTGCAGGCATGAAACTTGATTCATTTGATTCCAGCTGTCTCAGATCTACTTAGCAAGAGAGCTCTTCCTCTCCCCAGACGCCTTTTGCCCACTTGAAAATTACATTCTTCACAGGTTCAGCGGGACTTTTTTTTAAAGGATACTTTCCCATGCCCTAATATATCTGTTGAAGTTCATGTTTTCAGCCTTTGGCTACTTCTGACCTCCCTCATTATTTTTGTAACTTCATTGCTTTTAGTTGCCCTTAGGTGTCTCCACCTTTCTGAAAGGCCAACTTGATTCAACAGATTCTAAGCAACATCCTCCATTAGAACCAAGAGAACATTTGGATTAATCAACAGGAAACAACATAATGCATTTCCCAGTGGTAGCAGTTATGCTGGGAACTGTAAAGTACTCCTGTACTTTGATATGTCAAATATTATCATCTACCTCTGCACAAAGTTCTGAAATAAGCTTCACTTTCTGTCTGTGTGAGAGAGGATGGTACTTTGATGGGGGCAAAGACATAATAATATGGCATGGACATGGGATCACATGGGCTATCATGCTGGCATAGCATAAATCTACACCTATATGTAGGTTATGCAGTATCACTCTTTCCCTTAATACCAATACTGTGCAATCAACTGTGAATCTGCAAATGTACCTGCTTATTATCCTATTCTGCAATAATAGGGAGTGCATAGTGGCTGCCTCTGCAAAACCAGTGAATAAAATGGAACATTAAGGGCACTGAGGAATAGTTACACATGTTCTGAAATCATGCCCTATGAGGATCTGGGTATGTTTAACCTGGAGAAAAGAAAGTTAAGAAGTGATATGATGGCCCTGTTTAAATATTTGAAGGGATGTCGTACTGAAGATGGAACAAATTGGTTTTCTGCAGCTCCAGAGAATAAGACCCAGAGCAATGCGGTCAAACTATAGGAAAAGAGATTTCACCTAAACATTAGGAAGAACTTCCTGACTGTAAGAGCCGTTTGACAGTGGAACACAGTCCCTTGGAGTGTGGTCTCCTTCTTTGGAGATTTTTAAATAGAGGATGGATGGCCAACTGTTGGGGGTGCTTTGATTGTGAATTTCTGCACAGCAGAGGGTTGGACTTCATGGCCCTTGAGGTTTCTTCCAACTCTATGATTCTATCCATGAATGTGCACTTCATAGCTCAAATCCCTGTTGGTTTGTCCAGCTATGGTAGAACCTTTAAATCAGTTGTGGTGAGTCAACATAAATTCTCTTGATTCAATAGCTCTAGGATTTAGGCCAGTGTTGCATAGCGGTTTGAGTGCTGGACTACAAGTCTAGAGTACAAGGATTCAATTCCCAGAACACTCATGAAAGCCACTGGGTGATGTTGGGCAAATCACATACTTTCAGCTTCAGGGAGAGTCAATGGCAAACCTCCTATGAACAAAATGTGTCAAGAAAACCCCATGATATAAGGAACACCACCTTTGGGGTTGCCAAAAGTTAAAAATGACTAAGGCACACAACAACAGTGACACAATTCCCCTTGGAGAGCTCAATTTATGTAACTCTGAACACAATTGGACCTGAATTGGACCTCCATAGATTCAACCACCTATGGTTTGAAAATATTTTTTAAAATTCAAAAAGCAGACCCTGATTTTGCCATGTTATATAAGGAACATCATTTTACTATGCCACTGTATCTAGTCGGACTTGAGCATCCACAGATTTTGATATCCCCTGGAGATCCTGAAAGCAAACCCAAAGGCCCACTGTGGTTGTGTACAACAACCAAAACAGTACCACATGTGTAAGGCAGCTTACACAAACATATGGCACCAATGGGATTCTAGTCAGTGTTTTCAGTTCACACCATTTAGACACTATGTTGACCTACACTCTCAGATCAAAGTGCTCATCTGGTCAAACATCTTACTTAGCACAGTGTCCCATGTCTATGGGAAGGCAACCAGTCAGACTTCTCCCAGTGCTTGACTGGTATTTAGAAGAATCCTGCCTATGCCACTGTAGATAATATGTAGCCAGCCAATGATCTTAGCCTTCACAATTATGCTAATCCCCCATTTAATTTACTTTATTCCTTTCTCTAAAAGCCATCCAAGAGGATAACCATCCTTTTGGGGGAATTGGGATGATAGAATCACAGAGTTGGAAGACACCACAAGGGCCATCCAGTCTAACCCCCTGTCAAGCAGAAATAAATAACCAAAGTACTCCCAACAGATGGCCATTCAGCCTTTGTTTAAAAACCTCCAAAGAAGGAGACTCCATCACATTTCCAGGCAGCATAATCCACTGTCCAAAGGCTCTTACTGTCAGGAAGTTTAAATGGAATCTCCTTTCCTGTAGCTTGAATCCATTGCTCCATGTCCTAGTCTCTGGAGCAACAGAAAACAAGCTTGCTCCATCCTCAATATGACACCCCTTGAAACTTTTAAACATGGCTATCATGTCACCTCTTAACCTTCTCTTCTCCAGGCTAAACATACCCAGCTCCCTAAGCTGTTTCCCATAGGGCATGGTTTCCAGATCTTTCACCATTTTGGTTGCCCTCCTCTAGATATGCTCTAGCTTGTCAACATCCTTCTTGAATTATGGTACCCAGAACTGGAAACTATTCCAGGTGAGGTTTGACCAAAACAAAATAAAGTGGTAATATTACTTACCATGATCAAGTCACTACACTCCTATTGATGCAGCCTAGGATTATACAATTTATGGCTGTATGCTCCACTGTTCATCTATGTGTTGTGTGAAAGAAACACTTCCTTTTATCTGGTCTGATTCCTACCACTATTCAGCTTTGTTTTGTAACATCCCACCTGAATAATGGTGCTATGGGTGACAACCAACAAAAGAGCCTTTCTAGTCTATCATCCTCATTTACATGACCAGTTAGGACAATCATGAAGAAATGTCTTAGATGGGGAAATGAAATATTAATTAAATTCATCTTTAATTTCTTGCTGTTGTTAGAGGTTTCATTGCTAGCTTTTAACCCCATCAGAATTGCAATTGGTTACTATGTTTTGGGGTGCATCCCCACTGCAGAATTAAAGCAATTAGACACCACTTAAACTGCCATAACTCTACAGAATCATGGGATTTGTCATTTAGAGAAGTATTCAGCCTGACCAGTACCTCAGGGGATCCTCCAGAAAGGGAGAGAGGAGTACAGAAGTGGAGCAGACTGCTTCCTTTTCAGACAAAGGGAACAAAGAGACTAGAGATATTCCAAAATATTTAGAGTAGTAAAAAAAAATGTTTCACAAGCGTCAAGAAATTATGACAATAAGAATCCAGGGGCTGATGAGATTCTTTGCAGTTTGAGAGTTATTCTGTGCAAAATGCACATGTAACATATGACAGGAGAATTTTCTGTGCAGAAATGCTGTTTTCTCCATAGAAAATGCTTTCTGTTCAAAAACAGCCATGCCCAAATTTGGTACAGGGTAAGTCCCAAATTGTGAATAATCTTTGAAAATGGTGAAGATTTTGAAGACTTTCTTACACTGGTAAGAAAATTAAATTTAATAATTAAAATTAAATTAAAGAAAAATAAATTTCTCATTACTGCCCTTGAAAAAAAATCAGCAAAGAATTATCTCTCTAAATGAAAATAACTTCTTGAAGGGGAGAAGTGACCTCAACAAGTAAGAAACAAATAAAAGATTTGACATAGACCAGATCTATGAGTCCTGAATACTAGTGGGTTGTTTCCATCGAAAAAGATGTGGCCATGAGTTTACAAGACCTGGGCAGTCACCCAGGCCTGGATGACTGGGGCTCTTGGAGATTCCCCTATTCAGAGGGTCACTATGGGCAGTGTACACTTGCTAGAATACTCTGGGCTGCTCCAAAGCTGCCCCAAATTTCCTCCATTATCAGGGTACTCTGGAGCAGGGGTTCCCAACTTTTTTGACTTGTGGAGCCTTTATTTCTATGGTGGAACCTCTAAGAGGGCTACCCTATGTCTTAGAGTGTTCTGGATTTTCTGGGAAGATTCAGAGCAAATGATGAGGTTTTTTAAAAATAAAATATGTAAGAGAGGGGCTGCAGAACTGTCTTTTCCATATGAAGACAGTTTGCAGCTGAATCAGGACTTTGGCCCATACCCATGAGGACAGGGTGACACGAGGGTGAGGGGAAATCAATGCAAATAGCCTATGTAGATATGTACCATAAGCAAAAAGCAACAACAACATAGACCAAAAAAGATAGAGGAGGTAAAAAAACCTGAGGCCATTTATACAGGCTCCCCCTCCTGCTAATTACTATACAAGCATTGTTGCACTTTCCTTCCAAAATAACCACCCATAGTTCAGCCTACATGGCTTTTTTTTTTTTGCATCAA